TGGAGTTCAGGCTGGTCTTGAACTCACGTTGTAGCCCAGAGAGGTCTCAAACTTGTAACAACCCTCCTGCTTCAGCCTCCTGAGGGATTACAGGTATGCACCACCATGCTGAGCAGAGCTCCTTCCTTTTTAACTGAGCAAATCTTATTTTTTCCACAGGGTTTGTTATATAATCTATTTATTTGGGACAGGGTCTCACTAAGTGGCTGGCTAGCAACTTACTATATCCCTTTCTCAGCCCCCTGTGTAGCTGGGGTTACAGGCATGTGCCACTATGGAGGCTTTATTGTTTTGCTTCATTGATTATTCATGCTTATTACATCAAGCCAGCTTCAACACCATCTAGGGCAGCAATCAGGACCTTCTGTCCTGCCCTGGAGGACTGGGGTGTGTCAGAACCCTCAGCTAACAACTGGAAAGAATGCTTTCTTCTGACTTGAATCCACACTACTGTTGTCATTATTTTATGGGATAACAGGTTTTACATATAAATACCAGGCTCTGGGGTGTACAAAGCTCAGTGGAAGAGCCAGTGCCTCCTCTAGAACAGGCCCTGTGTTCAGCCTGTAGCACCACATCAATCCAGTCGTGGACTTCTACTGAATATATCTATTTCTATGCCTACTATCTTTGTGCCCTCTGCTTTTTCAATTTAAAAACACTTTGCACTGAGGTTTATTTAGGTATCTCCAGCCCATTCCCCGCCCCTACTCCCTGCCTGACAGTAGCATGCTGTCACACCCAATATATTAAGACAGCCACACAGCCATCTACATTACTGAGACACTCCCAGTCTCATGGTACTTGTATATATGTTTAGTCCTGTGCAGTGTTACATGTGTGTGGAGATGTATGGCCACTACCACACAGTCCACTGCAAGGGCCCCTCGTGCCATAGCAAGGCCCAGTCTAAAAATAAAAAGGGTTGGTGATGTAGCTCAATGCTAAGGCCAAGTTCAATCCTGGGTATTTACAGAAAAAGGCCCTATCTGGGTGTGGTGACACACACCTGTAATCCTAGCACTTGGGAAGCAGAGGAGGCAGGAAGATCTTGTGAGTTCAAGGCCCTTTTGGGCTACAAAGTGAGTTCAAGGCCATCCTGAACTACACAGTGAAACCCTGTCTCAAGAGGTAAAAAAATAAAAATTAAAAAACAGAAACAAAATAAATTTTTAAGAAAGCCAGACACCATGTGGCATGGTGGACACAGTACCTCTGCTGGGGCCTGTGTCGTGTGTAGCAGATGGCATAGCAACAGGCGGAACCTCTGCAGCTTTCTGGTAATCAAGAAGAGTAAGTGAAGTGTAAAACTCCAAAATTCAAAACTATTGGAGCTGTGCGATGGTTAACACCTATAATCCCAGCTACACAGGAGGCTGAGGGAGAAGGATCAAAAGTTCAAGCCTGAGCAACTTCAGAAGACCCTGTTTCAATAAAAAGGGCTGAGGTGTAGCTCAGAGGTAAGGTGCTTCCCTGCTGTACGTGAAGCCCCAGGTTCAATCTCCAGCACTGAAAAGCAGAAGTCCTGCTACATACTATGCCCTAGCGGTGGGATTTCTGTGGTGCTGGAGATGGAACCCAGGGTCAGGCCCAACTGCAGCATCTTCACTTTTTTCTTGCAGAATGCCAGTGATGGCCAGGAGAACAGGCTCACAGGGCATGTGTGGTCTCACTGCAGCCACCCAGCTCCCTGCAGTGGCAACACAAGCAGCCAGGCCACACACCACCAAGCAGGTAGGCCAGATGCAGCCCACAGACCCTAACCCTAGATAACTAGACCCTGCACACCCTGTCAAGGCCACAGAGCCCTGGACTCACCTTCCCTCTAGCACATGGGGTGTCCAGGAAGCCAGACACCAATGAAGAGGTCACTGCCAGGTGTTCACAATCTCTTATGACACCACTGTAACAAAGGGGGAGCATTAGCATCATCTTGGGGTGACACAGAAGGGTTATGCTACCTTGCTGATGGTGAGATGCTTAAAAAGCTGCTACTTGATGCTGATTAAAAAGGACGCATTCAGACAACTGAGCCCCTCTGCTTCAATCCACAAGATAGGATGCTGGCCTTCTGTCCCCATGTGTGGCCCTCATGGCAGAAGTCATGCATACAGTGCTTCTTGTTGTCCTGGAGAAGGGGCACCAGCTGGGGTCCCCTTGGCCTCTCCCATTTCCTGAGGGACCCACCCCATCCTAAGGAAAGCACCTTGAGATCTGCAAACTTGGGACCCAGGAGACTCACCTATGTCACCCTGCCTTCATGGGGTCCCAGTGCAGCAGAGGCCATGGGGCTACTGTGGCTGCCCTGGTAAACAAGAGCCCAAGAGACCTGCCTGTATAGTACAACACTCCCAGTCTGAGATCCGGTTCTGTCCCAACAGGCAATAGAATGAGACCCTGGCTGGGCATGGTAGTGCATGCCTGTAATCCCAGCTCTCCAGAGGCTGAGGCAGGAGGATAGTCGCAAGTTCGAGACCAGCCTGAGCTACAAAGTGAACTCAAGACTAGCCTGAACTGCATAGCAAGACCCTGACTCAAAAAGACAAAAAAAAAAAAAAAAAGAATGAGACCCCAGAGACCAGGGAGATCGCTTATAGTAGTGTCTGCTTCACCAGGCCCTGGGTTCCATGCCCAGGACCTAATGTCCACATTCTGCTCCCACATCTCACCTTCCTTGCCTTCGTAGTCCCACATCACCCAGGACAGAATTCTTTCAGCCTCTGCCAGAGGCGGCTGGTTGGGGCCTCCTGCACGTCAAAGGCTGCCCTACCACCACCTGCCACATGGAACCCTCTAATCCCCACTTCCCCTTTCCTTAGCAATTCAAGTGTCTTTGGTCCTTCCAGAGCACCCTAGTTGCTTCCTCTGGCCTCAACACCCATCTTCCCTGACACACCACTGTCCCCACACTGCAAGAGGCTGGTGGACTAGTAGGAACAGGCCCTGAACCAACCCACCTGTACACCTAGCCCACCTGAAGGCTGGTAAGGCTCTCAACTGGCCTGGCTTCTGCTCTGTGGTGCTGCACTGCCCCCAATCCCAACTAGTTTTCTGCAACAGGGTTGGCTAAGTTTTAAGGGGCCAGGTAATTATTTCTGGTTTTGCAGGCCAAG